GTGGAGCTCCCCAGCGCTGCTACCACATGGTAGTATTTTAGGTCCCCGTCACGGACCTGTCGGCAGGCGAAATGTGCCTCCACGTGTGCGACCCATGCCTCCGCGGCGTGCTCCCAGAATTCCGGCAGCTTTATGAAAACATCGCGCTCAGCCATGTTCATTCATTTTCCGGAAACTTTCTCGGAAAAGTCAGGGTCACCAGTGTAGTGCTGTGAAAAGAGAGTCGGAGGCGGTGTATTAAGAATGGAGTTCCAATCTTTATTATCCATTACTTTCAGAGAGGTTAACACATGCACTGCTCTGCCTGATGAGCTAGCAGGAATGGCAGCTAAAGCTACAGGTGTTCCCCACTAAAGGGTCCGTGTGGCAACACAATAAGCAAGGTGAATTATGTCCAATAACGTGTCACCACACTCTCGACCTTGTTCTGATTTATGGTATAGAAATTGAGCAACTATTAGTCGAACCGCATAATCCTGCTTTATCCGACCATTTCTTAGTAACTTTTGAAGTACTGTTACTAGATTATAAAGCATTAGTCAAAAGCTCCTGCAGCAGAAACCTATCTGTTAGTGCTATAGCCAAATTTAAGGAAGAGATTCCACCAATACTTAAGTTAAGATAATAAGCTATCAGCAACAGAACAGGCACACGGGATACCCGGAGATGACAACAACAACCGGAAGTTACAACATGCTTACCGCAATAGTGGTCCGTCTACTACTATGAGATTGCACTGCATTTTACTGTGGTATTCGGGTTGAGCCGAATACCTGCTTGATTATCCAAATACCCTTTATATATCTGCTTAAAAGCCTATTCATAGCTGATCCTGCTTTTCTCTGTAATTATCTTTAATTATTGTCACTAGCTTTTATTTCTATGCTGATTTGGACTGTAGCTTAGCAACAGACAAGTATGTTGCATCACATTTAAAACTTAATGTCACATGGTTTTTTTCAAACCTGTCAAAGTAATGCTCAATAACACAGCAAGAAGGATAGTTATCACATTTCAGAACCAGGCCTAAAAGACAAATTCCATCATGCCTAAAAACACGAGGTGTTGCATTCAAGTAGACACTTTTCATTCAACCAAAGAACCGGCAAATGTCTAAGAAATGTCTGTCATCATAACTGGTAAGGTGCAAGGGATTGGATAATGCATTATCTAATTTTTTGAAACCCAGCAGAATTAGCTAATTTACTTTTACGTCCATGGTACCCTTTTGTGTCAAACATGGTACATTTTTGCACTCTCCTTTTTCTTTTGTTATTGTTCATGTTCTTTCAGCCAGGGAATTTCATTAGATAAAACTCATCTCATTGTACCTGGTGGGAACTGTCAAAAGCACGGCTAGTCCTTTATTTCCATCACCTGCTAACCTTCGAGAAAAACATAACCACCATGATCACCTGATGAATATTCATGCGTTAAACTAAAGGGGTGGATATATGCACCCGGGAGAAGGGCTACACCATAGCCATTCAGCTATTTATACCCACCTAGCCAAAAAACCCCTCTCCCTCACCTTGTCACATAATGCCTAAAGGGATACATTAGACTAGAAGCGGCAAAGCCTGCTCCAAAAGTCATGTCATAATTGGAGTTGAAGACATCTTTTTCGAGATAGTCTTTGGAGTGAGGGATACAAATGTATACATGAAACACAAATATACCCTTTACGAAAATGCTAGGTTTTTCTCACTGTTTTTATAATCTAAATGAAATGGTTATATATGAACTAATGTAACTAGTTGAGCCAAGTTGATTTAGCTAGTTTAGTCAAGTAAAATGGTATTGATAGGAAGACTTTGTAGAGGGAGTTCTCTTTATACATCTATGGTGGTAAGTAAACCAGTTTGGCTTCTTTGATACTGTTGTGGCAAAATAAAAAGGCAGATGGTATTTGCACCCGGGTGACTGTAGTGAACAATGCCAGGTGCAAATAGCATTGTTCACTATTTTCACCTGGGTGCATAAAGCATTGTTGCCTATAGTCACCCGGGATCAAATAGCATTGTTGCCTATAGTCACCCGGGAGTAAATAGCATTGTTCACTGTATTCACCCGCGTTTAAAAAGCATCTGCCTTAAACTAAACAAGTTATGGTTTTAGGAATTTTCACGTGATATCTGTGAACTAATGACACAATAAATGCACACCATCTTACATGTAAGTATTCATTTGTAACTCTTGTATTTCTCCTTTATTCAAGAAAATATTATTGTACAAACAAATCCTAAAATGTAAAACAAGCTGAGGCTGAGCAAAGATTTCTGCAGGAAGAAACTGCAGGCCAAGCTCCAACGGAACAATAGCCGGGTGGTTTGGAATGGGATGAAGGCCATGACGGGGTTCAAGGGGAGAGACAGACTGACTGAGGGCACCCTGGAGAGAGAGCTAACAAACTCAACACCTTTTTCAATAGGTTTAGCTCTCCGCCCTCTGCAGTCTCCTCCAATCAACATCTCACCTCCACCACTCAGCCTGCTTCAACATCCCCCTCTCTATGCCTTTTACTCACTACTATACTTTTGTCTCCACTGCCCCAGTGCATTCTGGGAGAGGATGTTGTTGTGGTGGAGGATAACAAGTAGTGCACTTAGACAACAGACTGAACTGGAGGATCAACACTGATGCTGTGTACAAGAAGTAATAATATACATGGAAGCAATATGACACAAGTGGCTAATGAACTGACAAAGACCATGGTTCATGAAACAACTTGGTTGGAACACTGCTGTTTGCAACTAAATATTTGTAAAACAGTATGCATCTTCTTCACCAAAACAAAGTCCTCTTGTGTTGCGCCAGATGTTTTTGTGTCAGGGGAGAGGCTACAGGTGGTGTCACAATACAAGTACCTTGGAGTCATGATTGATTCAACACTCAATTTCAAGGCTCAGGTTAAAAAAAGATGTAATAGGGTCAAATTCAGTCTGTCGAATTTTAGGTTCACCAGAGATTACATGTCAATTGAGGCATCTCTGATGTACACACACTCTATGGTTCTCTCACACATCACCTACTGTTTAACTACCTGGTCACATGCCAGTACAACAACATTAAAACCACTGGAGTCATTGTACAAACAAACACTCAAAATACTGGACAAAAAATCTGTTTTTTTCGCATCACTGCCCAATACTCAAAAAATACAACTTGCTAAGCTGGGAAAACCTCATTAAACAAATGCTTGCCTTTTTTACAAGATTGTCAACGGCCTTACCTCACCTCCTCTTAGACAGTTTATTAACATACGCACAACTGCAACTAGGGTAACAAGAGGTGCAGCGAGAGGAGATTGCATTATTCCACTCAGAAAAAGTTCTTTCAGTCAGTCTTCATTTTCTGTTAAAGCTGCTCAGCAATGGAACTCAATCCCACCTCCAATCAGAGACCAGACCACATTGACTTTATTTAAATCAAAACTCAAAATATGGTTAGTGAGGAATCAGCTCTGCCAACACTGACCCAATCTTCTGCTACTTACAACCCACTGCCTGTGTTTTAACATGTTCTTTTGTTTTGTTTTATTTGTTTTGTTTTAATGTTCTGTATTTTAAATTGTTTTATTTAAGTATCCCAGTAATGTCTGTTGCATGTTTTAAATGTATTGTATTTACTTGTTTAAAATGAAATGTGTTTTAGGTTGACGTTTAAAATCTGTCCAGGGACTACAGATGAAAAATAGCCTCTTGGCTAACTCTGGCACATTTACAGAAATGTTCATTAATGTGCACTGTCCCTGTTAAATAAATGAATAAATAAAAAATAAAAAAGGGGATGAGCAGACTCTATTTTCTGAGGAAGCTGAGATCCTTCAACGTGTGCAGCAAGATGTTGGAGATCTTCTACCAGTCGGTTGTGGCCAGTGCACTCTTCTTTGCTGCGGTCTGCTGGGGGGCAGCATCACCAGCAGACTTAACAAATTGATTAAGAAAGCTGGCTCTGTCATCGGCATCAAACTGGACCCCTTTGAAGCTGTGGAGAGGAGGACACTGAACAGGCTGTTGTCCATCATGGATAACCCCCCTCCCTCTCCACAGGCAGCTGGACAGACAGCGGAGATCCTTCTCCAACAGACTGCTGCAGCTCCGCTGTCACAAGGACCGATACAGGAAAACATTCCTGCCAACTGCCATAACTATAACAAATCACCTCTGGCTGGAAGAGAACTCACTTCTCCATAGTTTGTCCTTGGTTAACTACCTATAACATTCACACTGTACATTTTATATTTATGTTCAATCTAATATTTAATAATCCATTCCTTGCACAATTAATATATATATAATATCCTGCTTATATTTTGTTACTGTAGATTTGTATTTCCACATGTATATTTTTTACTTTTTTAATGCTATTTTATTTCTATTTGAGACGTTTACATCTTCGATTGTTTATTTCTAGTCTTTTAGTTTCTCCAATGTACAATGCCTTGTCTTTTTATGCTGCTGCAACGCAAACATTTCTCAAATTGGGATCAATAAAGTATTTCTTATCTTATCTTTCTACTCTTTTAATTTGTTATTATGTGCAATGCCTTGTTTTGTTTTATGCTTCTGCATCACATTTCTTCTCCCAAATTGGGATTAATTAATAAAGTACATCTTATCTTATTTTATAACGGAAAAAACAAACATTTCAAGTCAAATATTGATCAAATACACTTTATACTTTACAAATTAGTTTTGATTGGCTTCTTATTATGAATATTTTTAATAGTTGTGGCATACTGTTGTAATTCTAAGTAAAAATGTGCAAAATTAGATTTTTAGTCAGTCCATTTCTTATTGTGAATATGACATTTTCCTCAAATTAGAATAAGTGAATAAAAAAAACAATATTTGTATCAAATCCATCACCTTTAAAGTTTATAAAAATAAACTAATTTTCATGTTTGGCGCTGTGGTTACTGTACGTGATGACATCTCTGAAATAGACGTCATAGGTTACTCAATCATCCAATCACGTCGCTTTAAAAGTAAAAAAACTGTACTACACTACGCATCACTACTGCGCAGACTCACACACGGGAAGAGCTGTCTTCTCACAGAGGATTTTCAAAGTCTGCTTACAAAGGTGAGGACTTTCCCCACGTTTATAGTCTTCTAAATGGTTCCGAGTGTAGATAACCCCTATATCATTCACTGTCTGTATATGAAATATCTACTCTGCATCACGACTATTTTCCTGCGTCCTACTTGTTGTTATGCTAACCGGCGACAGCTAGCCTTAGCTAATCTAGCTAACATTACCTAGTAGTAGTTAGCTCTTCCTCACCTTCCTGAAGCTAACGTCAGCTTGTGTTTCACTCCCCCACCTCTGGTGATCACATCAACATAATCCTCGCTCTGAAAGGTGCCTGAATACATAAAACTGATCAAGTTAAATTCATACCAAACTTGTTATCAGATGTGATATTGACCAGATTTGAATGAGAAGTGAACACTGTCTTAATTGAAGGTACCTTTGATGAGGGATGGACTGTAATGGTAATCGTTTCCTCTCACATTTACACAGAATATATGTATCTAAAAGATCATCACAATTAACAAACTGTTGCTGTGCAACTCTGTTGTTCACAATACTAACGTAATAATAATGATATAATAAAAAATAATATAATAATAATAAGATAATAATATGTAAAGGGTCATATGGTCTTGTTTGGGTAAGAGAAGATCATTCGTAGAGCACACTTCAAAGTGCTTTACATAATGTCAAATGTAATGTTCAATAAAGCAGAAATGACAACATGAAACACACACTTAAAGGATGCAAACCATGTTTAAAGGAAAATGCAGGATTAAACTAAGAAACAGCACAGCCAAAGACGTACACTTTGTGCATTGTGATGGTGACGATTATTTAAGGAAATCATTTTATAAAACAAGCAGTATTTTTGAACTCTCTGGGAACCATTAAGTATGTGATTTTAAAATATGTTTTAGCTGTAAAAGGGAATTGTTAGTTACATTTAAAGTAGTTTATTTGGTGCAGCTTACTAGAGCCAACTACTCAGTCAGTATGTCATTGCTATCACGGATTATGATACATTTCTTGAAAGCTGGTGGTAATGCATGGCAGTCTGATTTTCTAAAGATAAATGCATGCAAAGGACAGTGAGCATAAAGCTTGACTCAGTCAAAGCTATCCAAGGATCTGCGTCTTTCTCTCCTTGTTCATGTCATCTCTTTTGATAGCTGTTAAAAGGACACGAGAACTCCTACACATTACCGATTAACTTCAAACACATAAAGTGATCTTTCTTGTTCTCGATGTATGAACATATAAGCAAGATCACAAATGTTGACATTATTTTGGCAAAATATTTGCAATACTTTCCGTTTAATGCCATAAACTGAGAGATATATCAAGGGTTGGGTTCTGTTTGCTATTGAGCTACCTGTTATATTTCTGTAGGGTATATCCTAAAAAGCTGTAAACATGCATAAGAATTAATTTCCACTCCTTTGATATCTACACACTTGATGAACATATATTTACGTGTTTTTCTGTGTGTGTGTTTTTTCTTTGCATCAGCTCTTAGGAGCTCAAAACCACCAGTAAAGCTGTATAAGCACCGGGTTGATGGGTCGGAAGGAAGTGGCGCATCGTATGGGGAGCTGCCTCCCGAACTCGCCATGAGCTACAAACCCATTGCTCCGGCGCCCTCTGGATCCAACCTCACACCTCCAGGTTCTAACACAACACAGTTCCCCCAAAATCAGATACTTATCTGCCCTCTTGACTGTAGTGCTATCTATTCATTTAGACTATTTTGGTACCAGTTGCAGAGTGCTGGAGATATCATAGGAATATGATGTGTGCCTTGTTTTGAATATATTGGCACTAACTGGTTCCTGGCTTGTGGTTTCAACCGTATCACCACACAACTACTCTTGAGTGAGAGGCTCATATGCTAGCAACTGAACACCCTAACGTTTCAGCTCAGCCGAGAAGGACGCTATTAATGTTTACACCTCGGCTCGCACCATCACAAAGCTTCCTCCAGAGCAGAGGCAACATCCCTTCTGCGCGCCAACACAGTGGGCTGGTGTAGTACAGTTAAATTGTAATGGTTACTTTCATAAAAACAGCCTTAATTGATCAATTGCACTATTGTTTAAAGGAACTTGTAGTGTGACCTAGGGGTGTAACGGTTCACAAACATTTCGGTTCGGTACGTACCTCGGTTTTTAGGTCACGGTTCGGTACGTTTTCGGTACAGCAGAACAAATGATCACAAAACATAAAATATATATATATATTTTTTTAATTATTATTAAATTGTGAATAATGTATTCACTCAAATAAATACAAAATATAATAAAATAGACATTTAAGGTGCAACATTTCGATGAACTGAAATAATCTTTATTTGAACTTTACTGTACTAGTACTCACAAAACAAAATATTAGTTTTGGGTTTTTAATTATTATTAAACTGTGAATATTCACTCAAATAAATACAAAATATAATAAAATAAACATTAAGGTGCAGAATTTCGATGAACTGAAATAATCTGTATTTGATCTGTACTGTACAGGACTTGCTTGTCATTGTATTTTCATGTTTTTTTAAATAAAGATGAACTTGTCCACATTGCTTGCCGAAAGGGCAGATCTGCTGGCACTAACAATGTCTCCTGCTGTGGAGAACACCCTCTCGCTAGGGACAGAGGTAGCAGATACAGCCAGGTAGTGCTTTGCTAACATGGCAACATAAGGATATTTGGTGTTTGTAATAGCTTTGGCTCGGTCTGAACTTTCTGCGAGTGGTGGAGGCTTACATGCTAGCGGGAGTTGGGTTTGCACTTCAGTCTTTTTTCTTTTGGTACCGGTGATATTCACGTTCGGGTGATGCCTTTTCAAAAGAGTGTGCAAGTTTGATGTATTGCCAGCCGCGTAACCAATTTTAGTTGAACAATGCCGACAAACAGCTTTGGTTCGGTCCACCTGTCTTTGTCCGTCATCCTTGTACGTAACTGCGAAACCAAAATGTTCCCAAATCGGAGACGTACATACCTAGAGACATTGACAAGTACCAAGAGTATATTTATATCTCGCCCTGTCAATAAGCCTCACCTTCTTGGCAAAAACTGTATTGTTTTTGAAGTGGTGGAGAGACAATGCACAGTTTTACCCACTGCTGTCACCCATGGCCAAAGCATATCTCTCAATATCAACATCAGTACCAAGCAAGAGAGTTGTTTCCACAGCAGGGGATATTGTAAACGCCCAAACATCCCAGCTTCTACCTGGAAATGTGGACATGCTCATATTCCTAAAAGAAAACCTTGATGATGCTGAGTGAGTGAGTGAGTGAGTGAGTGAGTGAGTGAGTGAGTGAGTGAGTGAGTGAGTGAGTGAGTGAGTGAGTGAGTGAGTGAGTGAGTGAGTGAGTGAGTGAGTGAGTGAGTGAGTGAGTGAGTGAGTGAGTTAGAGTTGAGTTACTTGAAAAACTAAAGTGAAACTTGATTTATTCTATTGCAGGGTCTGATTATTATATTGTTGACACTTTAAAAAATACTACTATCCTACTAAAATGCTGTACAAATCAGATTTATTATTTAATAAAGAAAAAAAATTCAAGTAAAAAACAAAAAAAAAATCACATTTTTTTTCTTTATTTTTCAATATCGCGATAAATATTGTACCGTGGACTTTTTATCGCGATGTTATCGTACTGTGAGTTTTTGGTATCATTACATCCCTAGCCCATGCCGAATATTTTTGGTACGAATACGTATACCGTTACACCCCTAGTGTGACCATATGTTTTGGATTTGGGCGGGAACTGTCCCTTTAATGTTGTACATGAAATATTGACCAGTTGCTTTATCTTAACTCAACACTATTGTAGGAGCCATGAAACGTGTTTAGTAATCCTTTACGTTTTAATATAAGATATTTGTTTGATCACTATTGATTGGTTGGCTTGGGTCACATGGATATGGGCGGCACTCATTATAATCCTGTTCACCTGCGTGAGGTGTGGGTGTGTGGAAGAGAGGGTGACACAGGGCGGTTGTACTTTTTTGTTGACCGCAAGATTTACGATTGCTTTGATTATTATAACAATGTGTATGTCTGGTCACCGAGTTTTTTGTCATTAAACTACAATACTACGAAACAGAGCTCTTGATCTCAGCAAGTAGGCCTACTTTTTTAGCGTGTCATACAACATCAATCAGGCCCGGCCTCAGCCTCTCAGCGACTTTGTCAAAAATTGGAAAGTCAGTAACCATGGCAACGCAACATAATCAACCTCATGCTGTGATTCTAGTTAAACACTCACTAATGTAATGGTAAGTGGCCATACACACACAATAAACTACTCTTAGGTGTCTTCTGTGTATCAGAAAACAGTTAATTAGTGTTGAAACTTTATTTGTATGATTCACGAGGCACACTGCTTCTCATTGTTCTTGTGTTCTAGCTAAAGTTTGTAACAACTGTTCTCCTCATCTGCCCAGGCTCCTCGGTGCCCTCCCCTTCCCTGCCCTCGTCATCCAACTTTAGGCCGGCTTTTAGTGACTTTGGCCCCCCCTCCATGGGCTTTGTTCAGGTATGTCTGTGCTACAGTTATTCACACAGCACTGTTGTGTTGCCATTGGTTGTACCACACAAATTGATAGCATGGCCTTGACAGAAAAATCTGTATAGAAAACCTCTCTCAGGAACTTGCATACCTAGTGTTTTATTTGTGAGGAACAGAATGATGAGCTGAATACACCCCCAGCTGTTATACAAAAGCTGATTCATAATTAGAGACGTTTCCTCTATTTGCAGCTTCAGTGAAAGAGAGAGGGTCAGCTTTTACTAATCCACCTTCTAAAAGCTTTTCTTTCTCCCTTTATTCCTGGTGTAAAGTAAAAACTCTTTGAGACAGCTTTGGAAGGTTATTACTCTGAGGCAGCAAAAGGCATGTGAATTAGATACAGTAGGAGTGTTGAGATAATAATAATAATAATAATAATGCATTACATTTTTTATTAGAGGGGGTGGCTGATTTGTTGTGCATAGTATTACAAAAAAACAAAAATGTTCACATATTTATATGAAACCATGGAGATGTAGAGAGGCTTGTATAGCTTAGGGGACGTGGAGAGACTTAGGTTGCGTTCCGATAATCCAAAAATTAGCTCCTAAATTCTAGCCCTATCTCCTATTCCTTGACCTCTGAGTGAAACGTCACGGGGTTAAGGGATAGTGGATAGGAGAATTCAAAAGGACTTAGGAGAAGAGACCGCGGTACTTTAGAGAATCCGAATGCACTTTCACTATCTGATGTGTTTATGATGCGGCAGCGGACGTCATGAATGTGCGTCTGCTGCTGTGGGGAAACTATGGAAACTAGTTTTCTATACAGCGGACTACAACATGGATGTTTAATAAGAACAAGGGACTACTGTAAACTCATCTAGAGACTCTGCACCGTGCTCTGATGCTGTTGCTTTATGCTTTATGAACGTGGACAACAGAGAAACATATTCTTCATGACCAAAGTTGGAATTGAAATAAAAAAGGAAAGTGAAACTTATGCTCGTCACCCTCTCCCTCCGGTCCACATTAATACAAATGATCCCAATACGTATGATTGTATGAACTATTAAAATATCTTAAAATGAATACAAATGTATTTATTATAAACGTTAGTCCTTAACATCTATCACTGTGTATATCACCATTCAAACATATTTTAAAAGTTGAACAAACCCCTCACAGCTCAGTAAAGACTGTGAAATGTTGACTTTATTTGATAATTTCAGTAAAAACTAACGTTCATATTTCTCTTTTTGATTATAATACTGATGAACGTTCAAAACAAAGCACTTTGGCAACTTACCACATACGTTTTAAAATGCTTAATAAGCACCGTAACTTTCATGATATAATTTCTCCGTTTCCGTGAACGGCCGACTGTTGAGTGACGGCAAATGCTGCGGCTGCAATGCATTGTGGGGCAGCATTTTCTCCTCTCCTTTCGTCAAGGGAGGTCCAGTGGTTCCTAAGCTAAAGGAGGTTATAAAGGAAGTTTGAAACCTCCTTTCCTTTCATTTAGAGAATTGGAACGGCACTTATCATGGCTGCCACTGAGGGACTTCCGGGTCATTTCACTCCGTTAGGAAGGTTCCTAAGCTAAATGGACTATTGGAACGCAACCTTAGTATAAAAGCAGTGTGTGGTCTATCTGTTACTGTCGCTCTCTTTATCATCACGCTATATCATATGAGGGAGAGTAGCACGTCTTTCTTTGAACTTTTTTCTTTCATTGTGATGTGCATTTTCAGCTGAGCCCCGTGTTGATAGATATATTTTTTTGTCCCATGTTTGTGAAAATGAACAAGCAGCCTGTCAAAGTGTCTCAAGGGTCCACATACAGTGAGCTTCTGTCCGTCATCGAGGAGATGAGCCGTGAGATCAGGCCTACCTACGCTGGGAGCAAGAGTGCTATGGAGAGGCTAAAGAGAGGTATATTTTACTTTTAAAACATACAGTACCTGTTCTCGCTACAAGTCGTGATTTGTGGTGGTGTGTGTCATGAATAGTTCATAAGAGTGCTGAAGGGAGGGAGAGTGGTTCCCTGCTGGACTTGTTCTGCTTTTATTATGGAAATAAAGGACTCCAAGGAAGAGTGGTGACCCTGGGTCATCTACTGGTGGGGATTTTTTTCCCAACATATTGTGTTTAAATAAACTCAGAAGCAAAGACAAATAAACTCAATTACATAAGGGGGACATTGGTTGCTTTTGCTTTTAATAACACTAATACAATTACAGCAGTTGGGTATGTGGAGAAACAATCAAGATGTTTAGCAATTGTCCACAAAGGTTAAAAGTCTATTTTCTGTGTGAACATTTAAGTCCCTGACTGAGAGTCAGTTCAAACCACAAGGTGTGGTCTAAGAAGGAAATGATCATTACGCTACGGCTTTTCTTGGCTCTTATTTTTAAATTCTTATGAATAGTAATGAAAATATATAGAAGTAATTGTCTGGTGTGATTTAAAAAGAAGCACATGCATTAGACAGCAACTGCGGTGGCTGCTGTGGTGTTAATTTAACAGGCGGACAGACGGCTGAACCCAATTGTGCCTTTAGCTTGACCTGCAGTTTTCTTTTTTTAATGCAGCGCTTTTGTTATCTTAGACTGTCATGGATGCATTGGTTTATTATTAGTTGAGGTACACAGAGATAAACTGTTACCAATTACTTAATCAATTCCTTTGAAGTCAAACTATTAATTAGATGCTTCCTTGATCCTCGTGTCTGTCTCCAGGTATTATCCACGCCCGAGCTCTGGTCAGGGAGTGTCTTGCAGAGACGGAAAGAAGCGCCCGCACATAACCTTTTTGAAAGCTCCCTTCACTCCTCACTCTTTCCCGTAGAAGCCTGTCCTCAAGATCCCCAACGTCTGTTTTACCACTTTTTTCCATTCTCTGCTTTTTTGCTCTTTCCTCTGCGGCTTTTTATAGTTGCATTATGTCCTTCTTGTCTCCACTGTTCCCTGCATTCCACAATACCATTTATGTTTATCACAAACGTTCTGTGAACTGTAGGGTGTATGCAAAATGCAGGTTTGTATCTATTTTAAATAGAATTGTGGGGAATTTAAACACATTACTAAGTTGAGCCCTTGGTAAAAACCTTAGTAAGATCGATTGGAATGTTTTTATTCAATAATGGCTATTGACCAAGACAGATGGGTTAGTGTTAATGGTGGAATCAAAGTTCCAGCTGCACCCCGTCTTAAGTTTCTATGCTGACCGTCACTCTGCAACCACTGAATGTTTTGTTAATCTGAGCATCCTGAATATACCCCATTTCCATCCACATTGCATTGTTGTTTTGTAGTGTAAACACACATTAGATGTTTTTCAATCCCAAGAACGCTGTACATCTCAAGTCAATTTGTTAGTATGGAAATTTTGTAAACCAGATTTTTGCAGTTCTGTATGTATATCTTAATTAAATAACTGAAAAAAAACACCTTCAATTTATTTTTCATTTGTGAACCATAATTAATAAGAATGAGTGGGTCATTTTTTGTTTTGGTTACTCTGATGTATCATTCTAGACATCTTCAAATCATTTGAGTGAAGTCCTTCAGGGCATTGAGCAATGAAAGACTCCATTAATGAAAGCAACAATGTGTGAGAGCTCCGAAAACTTTTAAATTCAACTTGTGCTAATGTTTAACAATTTCTCTAAATATTTTGAGCACTATTTTCCAAATCATGTGGCACAAAATATAAAAGAAAATACAGAGCAATAGATAAACTCACATTTATTTGTTGTTACATAATAACCATCTCACTAAAATCTCACTTCAGATTTCAGACGCCATTAGTGCTTCACATAAAGAGTAATGAGTGGCTCTATTAAAGCAAGTAAAGGAGCAGGTGAGGGGAGAGTCGATATTGACAAAAAAACAATACAATGGTATATTTCTTACATAAGGAAATAAGTGCATAAGCGAAAGCAAAGATAACAAGTCCTTGTGTGTTTTATAATGATTGTCACAGAACGCTGGGTTTCCCAGTTCCATACACCAGGAGATAATGGCCTCCTGCTTATTCCTGTGCTTCCGCTGTGACCAAGATGGAAGAGCAGGTGTGGCGGGGCAAAGCAGCAGAGTGCATGATGGGTACATGATGTCCCTTGTGCAAGAAAAAAAAAATATTCCTTGTTTCTTTGGAGGGGAGAACATTTCTATCTGGAATTCCATCTAAATCTCTCCTGGTTGGACTATGGTTATATTAGAAAAATCCAACAGCTCTGCACATATTTCAGAGAAAACAAGACAACAAAATACAATTGAACTACTTGTTTCTAATACTGTGAAAAGTCTATGTTTTTCTATATAAATTGCAATATAATGACTTTCCACAAACAGCTGATAAATGCATCATTAAATGAAAAAAACAAAAATCTCTGCAGCAAATCGTGTGAAAATGTTTCCAAGGGTAACCTTCTGTAGGTAGTAGCCCATTCCTGTGAGCAAGTGAAAACCAAGAGTGTTAACATTTCTGTTGCTTTAACAGAGGAAAACCATATGCTCTGAAATGACAATGCTGTTGGCCAGTACATACCATATATCAGGTTTCTATGGAATATAAAAGTCAAGTTGGTAATGTCACCATGTCCTCATCAAAGACTGAATTGTACTTCTTTTTTTTCAGAGAGAGGGAGTTTAGAAAGAAGTAAGGCAGGAATGCAAATCGCACCTTGGTATATCTACGTGACTAGGTGTGACTCGACAGTGTGTGAGAACATTTCGAGTGTGCCATAGGGGCAGAGGGAAGAGTGTTTGGCTTGGGTGCGGGGATCAAAAGTAAAACACCAGCAGTGTCTACCGTTTCTTCTCCATCTTGAAATTCACAGGAATCCTCTTGTTCCATCCCATTGCGAGATTCAACCCTACGAGGAGGGAAAAGCAAATAATTACATTTCTACTATATGTGACCTGCTCTATCGAAATCAGTCGCATTGACCCGAAGACACATTTTGAGTTGTATACACTGCTGGAAAGAGGAGATTCCTAGCTTTCTAATGATATCAGGATTGTTGTTGTGCTCCAAATATTAATCAAAAATATGTCACATTATATAATGACTGTCACCGAGTCATCATTTTGAGAAAAATGCCTTCAAAATTTCCACTTCTCTGGAATCCATCGATCTGATTGATTATTAGCGGAGCAAATTATCAAAATACTACGGAGGGAAGATATTTTCGTTTGGATTACTGGTCTGGGGGAAGCTCGCGAGTGTGTGTGTTTGTGTAATTTTGCATTTGTGTGTATTGTGTTTGTTTCCCGGGGAAAACCCTCACGAGAAACACCGGCTGTTGTTATGCCTGCTGTGACGTTAAGTTACTCCGTTCTCCGCTTGTAATTATGCCGAAGCTTCAAAGTTGTATCTGAATTTGCCGAAAAAAGTTTAACATTCTGAAAGACTTTGTTTAATTGAAATCAGATGAAAACAAACTGTAACGGACCCTGCCGTGTTATCTATGATTACTATACGCTTACATTCATAATTTCAGCCGGAGGGAGGGGGGCGCTGCGGAAGAGCATATTGCGAGTGAGAGGTGTCATCTTCCAAGCTTCAAAAATTTATTTTTCGTGTGATTTTGGAAATAAAAGTTTCATATTCTGAAAGCCAAGACTTTGTTTATTTAAAATCAAACAAAACACCCGAACCCCGAAAAAATAGTTTTTTACGCAAATCCACGTTTATTTTGAAATGAGCCGTTGCGACTTCCGACTGATTTCGATAGAGCGGGTCACATATTATATCATAATAAACATCTTAAATGTAATATCTGAGAACCAGAAGATGGTTGCTTTAAAAAAAATGAAAATAGATTTACTGTAGTAGCAGTGGCTGGTGGTTCGGTGTAGTTGAACAGGCCCTTGTAGCGACCCTTTTCCTCCTTCTCTTTGTTGCGGATCCTGTCCTCCATGGCCTTCAGCTCCTTGGCAACAGATGGTCCCAGAGAGGGGTCCAGCTCCAAAACCTTATTAAAGTCCACCCTGGCCTCCACCTCATTCCACACAGCAGCGTGGGCCTTAGCACGCTTATAGTAGGCCTTCAAATTGTCTGTTATGAATGAGACACAAATAATACAAGAAGACAAATCAAATAAACATACTTGCATACATAGACAAGGATTCATGTTTTTGTTTTTTTACATTGTATACAATGACATTTTGATGACATACTACACTATGACTTTGTTGTTGTGATTTTGTTGGAAGTGGCTGTTTCTTATTTTACCCTCATATTTGAAGACGAGTGCTGAGCAGTGTTCGATGACTTCGTAGTACTGGCCCTGGAGCAGCTTGCACTGGCAGAAGTTGAGGAGCAGTGGTGTGATCATATGGTCCAACTTTACCCATACCTCGTCTCCAGGATGTTCCTTGAAGGGGAGAAAAAAGTCACAGAAGAGTAAGAGAATGCATTTTTTTGCAAGAGTTTGTTGTAATGAAATGAAATACTAAAAACTGGATCAGATGTATTTTCTTTTGTATTCAACTGTGCCCTTACCTTCATCTGTAGATTTTTTAGGCAGGCAATGCCATTGTAGTACTTTTCTGTAGCTTCTGTAATTTTGCCCTGCTTGAAAAGCGTGTTGCCCTCCTCATGGATCTGAGGCACGAGCTTCAATTTCTCTTCGTCTGTCATAGCCCACACATCAAGCTGGAACGATCCTGGAGCCAGAACCTTAGCAGACAAAGAGATTGAAGATCAGTGGCTGGATCCCCGGTTAGTGGAAGCCTTACACATTTCAGTTTTTGCTTAACTATTAACAACAATTTGTGTTAGATTCATATTAGACTACATTATATCCAATACTTAAATGTATGCAATAATCAAAAACATTTTTGATTTCATATTTGAAAAGAAAACTTCTTGTGTCTTGTTTGATGAAAAAAAAAATACTTTAAAGAAAGTTACGTAGATATAAAAAGGGTGATGGTAGTTGCTGGGTACCACAACCCAGGCTGTGTGTTGGTGCTACAATAGAAAGTAACCCACAAACAACACTGAATCCTTTAAAAAGCAACCAATGATTTTAAAATCTGTGCTCTGCCCTGCCTGCTCACCTCCAGCAGATCGATGGTGAAGAGAAGAGGCTGCGGATTGGCCTGAAGATTATCCAGGTCGTTATGCCCCAGAGAGTGGTGGGAGTGAATCTGGGCAATGCCACAGCAATGCCTCTGGCCTTCCAGGGGGTCCTTACCAGCACTGATGTTTCTCAGGGACTGGGACACGAGTGGGTACAGTGATGTGTGCTGAGGGGTGAAGAGAAATGGTCATTGGTCAATGCACGAAAAATAAAAATAAGATCGTCACCCCATAACAAGCAAATGACTAGCTCACTTACCTTATTTTCACAGTTAAATTCTGCAACTTCGCCTTGTCTCATGGTGATGACCACTCTCTCCCACGCAGCTAGTTTAAACTTCTTGCCTAAAATGAGCTCCATGGGTTTGCTGCGGCCCCCCATGGTCCGGGAGTCATCCAGCACTGTGCCATCACACAGGCTGGTGCGGTAGTGGAAGACCACCTGGTGAACACAGAGACGAAGAACACACACATTAAACCCTGCTCAACATAACTATCCGGTTTAAATAATAGTTTAGACATCACCCTTTAAGTAAACTGGATCGATGCAGCTTGTGTACTAGAAACAAAGGAGCAATCTGTATTTCTGTGACAGGCCCGGAGAGCGTATCCGCTCTATCTTATTCTGGCCAATCACAACAATAGCAGTTTGATTGACGTGAGATTTAGACCAATCAGCATTCATAAACACATACCATCCTGTCCCTCCCCCTATCTTTCCATCAAGATGAAAAAATAAGGGAAGAAATGTAAGGTCCCCCGGCTTTAAAAGAGCAAGATCAACAAATGTTACACTGTATAGCCAAAAACTAAGGCAGCAATGCCCACAACTTTGTCAGCAGTGGCTGTATACAAACATTAATCTAACTGACAGTGTCTAAAGTGTTAGCTTCCCAGTGATAGCATTAGCTAGCGTGCTTCGTCGCTTTTCTTAACCATTTCAGAGGACAAGACCCTACTGGTCCGTCTGCGGACATGCTACAGTTTTACCTTGGTTCCATTGGGAAAGGTCGATAGCTCTCCTTTGCCAGGACTGATCAATTTCTTTACAATTCCTTCCTCGAGAAGCTTACGTGCCTCTTCCTCCATCCTTGACCGAGTCGAGTTTACGACAGATGGCGATGTTTGCCGAAGCCAGTCCTTTCGTTATAGCGCCCTCTAGGCTGGGGGCTGCACTGACTGCTTTCTCCGACACATAATAAAAAAGGTTCACGTTTCGTGTGTTTTAATTAATGCAGCACGTGTACTTAATGACCAGTGATTGAATGTAACATTGACTTTACATTTTGACTGAGTATTCTCATGTTATGCTACACTATGTCATAAGAATGTCACAACAAAAGTAGGCCACGAAAATATCATAGTAGGCCTATTGTATTTCATAAAATTTAAATAAAATCAGTATGGAATGATAAGACTGTCAAAAATGTATATATTTACAACATTTAACATTGTCAGGGATATTAATGTACAGTCCAATACTTATTTCTATCATGGTCCTATGCATTCCATCACTTCATGAAGCAATTTTATTACGCTCCGTGAAGTTCCTTTAACTTTAAGATTAGACAGGTCTAGAATTCTAGTGTGTAAAGATAAAGACCCCATACCAAAGACAAAGTAAACCAACATGCAGACACAAGACATTCAAAAATAGCAGGAGCTAGCAGTTACATATAGACACGGATATCTTACAAGAGATTTAACTCCCTGAGCAGGCAGAGCTGCAGGTTTGACCCCCCCCAGCTCACTTGCAACAAAAACAAAAAAAACACATCTTAAAATATACAAAAGTTTTATTGTAATTTCACAGTCATTATTCACACAACATAGAGAAACACAGGCAAGACCTATCTCCTTCTTTTTCATGTACACACAGCAATATCAGTTCATGTGGAAAACAAAGTCGAAGCACTGAGTGGTTGAGTAAGTAGTGGTCATTACAATGACAAGAAAAAACAACCATGTATCAACCTTTTTAGTTAAAAGTGACAAAATACAATTCATTTAAAAAGGTAAAAAGTAAAATTAGTGTCTCATGAAATGTTATTTTTCAAAATAAGGTAGGTAGAACAATTTGAAGCCTCTTCTTCCACGGACAGCACAGCTGATGTATATCACATGGTACACTGCAGGAAATACAGAGAATACACTAATTATATCTTCCAAACAAAGCACACATTAACTGGTACGGGTGAATGTAAAGTGAAACAAAAAGGCTGGAAACAAAGGATCAATTTACCGCCAGGGATGAAGAGAAGAAATCCAGGAACAAAGAAAATAGCACTTGAAACCCCTGTGAAGACAGTCATTTTAGAATCAAGACACAGTCACACACAATATTCAATGCAACCACACATTAAAGGAAGAGTTTAACATTTTAGGGAAACATATTATTTTCTTTATTGCAAGAATACAGAGGAAAAGATCGATAGCTGTTGGGACAATATTTTGTTTCTGACTTTGTTTGAAACTACAACTTTGCTGTCTTAGAATTAGCTGACAATTGACAAGTACTATAATTTATTGTAGCATGCAGCTACGGTTTACAGTAAATTGTATCCCTTCACACCAGTTGTTAAAGGTCCCATGACATGGCCATTTCTACTGATCATAATTCCATTGTTGAGGTCTACTAGAATAGATTTACATTGTGCAATTTTCCAATCTCACATTGGTTTCTCATACAGCATCTCTGTATAGTATGTGTATTTACTCTGTCCTACACCGCTTGTTGGAGCTCCTGCCCCCCTCTGTGAGCCCACTCTGTTCTGATGAGTCCACCACCGTTACAGCGGAACATCAGTGATTATGTGTTACAATAGCGTTAGCAACCAGAAAATGACACAGTAATGACGAACAGATGAGACTGTTGCGCGGGGTCTGGGTGCCGTGTTGGTGGGACGTTGCGAGGCTCGCTGCTGCGAGGAGCGGACAGTGTGAACTGGCTTACTGGTGTGGTTTCCTGGTTGCTGCGTGGGGTCGGCGAGACAGCGAGACATCGCGAATGGACGCGAGAAGGGGGGGGTGCTAAGGGGGCTGCAGCACCCCCATCGGCGAGGCTCCACTAGCACCCGCACCCCCCCCCCGCACCTACAGTGTAAGCACGCAGTCTCCACTAGCACGTCACAGTTTCGCCGCTGAGAGAGTGTGTGTGTGTGAGGAGCTCCACTGATTGGTCCATTTGGGTATGGTCACGTCACTGTACCCAGGAAGAAAAAGAGAAATCTCCAACGAGGCGTTCTGGGGCAGCATAGACAGGTAGTTTCTGTGTTAGAGTTGTACTCGCTACAGGGTGTACTTTGAGGGTTTGTGACTTTGCAGACCGTTTACATGCATACAAACCTTCATAACACACAAGGGGACGGGTAATAACCAGAAAAACATGACATGGGACCTTTAAGTTGAGCAGGACAGATTTGTACTGGATTGAGAAACACTGCTTTTTTATCATCAAAGGGACTTTGGCCTTGAATGACTGCTGCCATTGATCCAGCAGTGTGTGCGATGGTGTTACAGGAAAAGTATACAGACAGGATGACACACTGAGCTGCCAAGCTTTGTTTGTTGGCTGCCAGAATACACATTCATAGACTCCAACCAAAACATACAGTCCAGCATTGACCATGCAGGTACATAGACACAAAGGAATGTCTTTCTTGTAATGTTTGCGTTAGTTCAATTAAATGGAGATATTTTGAATTGGTACTTTCTTTTCCAATGTAGTAATTTGTGTTAAGTTTGTGATTTATTATTTAGTTGTAACATGATTGGTTTCCGTTTGGTAATTTTTTTCATGAAATGTTTCTTTCTTTGGCTGCTTTTTGGCTGATAACAATCTACAGCTTTTTGATGCTTTAAGCATTACTCTTCTTCTTTTTTTTATATCCAGCACACATAGCATTTTGTGCTTGTTGATAATGTTTAAATGATCTGTGGTCATATTGCATCTGGGTTAACAGACTAATTATGTCGTTTTTGGACAACAAAATCATGTAATTATCCAAAAAGGTTTAATTTCCTTACCGGCAACTGGATTCAGCTGGATGACAACACCTGTGAAAATAAGAGCTAAAAGAAAAGATGAAAGTTCATTTGCAGGGTGGGGTGACAATCCAGCATTTATAAAACTCTTTTTTATTCACTTACATAACTCTAAAAACTTGTTTAACAAATAGTATCAACAATAGGACAAAGTTCAGGGTTCTCAACACAACACTAAGAAAAACAGAAACGGATGACAGAAATAAAATAAAAGCATTTGTTTTTAAGTTAAGACCTTATTACAGAAGGTTGTTGTTTTTGTTTATATTTGGTAAGAAAAAGGTCTAATGGGATTTTTTATTTGCTTAAAAAATATTTTGTTGTGTTTTCTTTTCCCTTCCTTTTAAGTCACCTACACTTGTACCCTATATTTTGTCCTGCACATTGTTTTATGTTTTGAAAAATAAATAAAGTGTTCGAAAGTATAAATGAACTGTTCAAGACTTACCAACTCCAGTGATGAGGAGAAGGAAAGAAGCCAGAACAACTCTTCTGTTTTTCTTCACGAGCGGATGGGACACCCACCTGAGCAAACATTTTTTTAAAGTGAGTGTTTGTTGTTGTGTGATAATTTGTGTGTATGTGGTTGTTGAAGTTTGCTTTTGTTGTTTGAACTCACCCACAGCAATGAGCAGAAAGGTGATTGACAGAACTCAAGGTGCTGAAGGACCACTGCGAGCTGCAGTAAGACAGAGTCGCAGGGTCGCTATGGAGAGAGCACAAACAGAGAGTTTATCTCACATTCAAAGGGTTAAGGTAGAAGGAGGGGTGAAGTTAAATCACATCAATAGTTCTACACAGAAGACTCACCTGATTTTGAAGAAGTTATTGAAAGAGGAATTCCCATTGCTGACCAAGACGTCTTCATTTTCCAGATTCTACAGAAACAGCAGATGATAAAGAAGGTGCAGTTTCAAGTTCTTCTGAAATGTTTACAAATCCATTAAATCAGTTTTTACAATGTAGTTATCTTCAACAAGTTCAATTATTTGTTTTTTTTGTCTGTCTGCTGTTGTGTTTGTGTTGTTGTCGTGATGTTCTCTGTCCCTGTTTTTACTTGTATAGAAACCGTTTTGTTCTGCTGCCTCGCTTGATCCGAACTCCTTGGTAGAAGATATATTGTATCTCAGTGGAACCTTTCTGGTGGAATACATAATTATTTAAAACGTTTTTTATTTGTACCTGATACTTTAGGTTACTGTGTTCAGGGGAGCCGGGAGCAGCAGCAGGCGAGGGATGAGTCTGAGGTTTGGAGAAAGTTAGAGGACCAAATGTCATCTCTGCTCCTTCCCTGTCCTTGTCTTTGCTCTTCCATCCCTCGGTGTCTCCATCAGACACTGCTTCCTCCTCATCTCCATCCAACACAAAGGCATCATCGATACTAAACTGTGTGGCCATGATTGCCTCTTACACCCTTCAGTTCTGTGGCTTGATTTTCACTGTGGATTGAGAGAAAAAACAGTGCTTCTTAGAGGTTTTATACACATCCTATGATCTATTCAGAGATAATATGCACCGTCTATAATTCCGGACTAATAGTACAATAATTATAAGCTAAAAAGTAAACTTTATTGACTTTTGCATTTTAAGTACGCGCACAAATAACTACACTCAGAATAAACTAGTCTGGAGACCGAAATCTTCTAACGTGATTTAATTATAAACTTGAACAAAGACAATACTACCTTGAATGGGAACTTGTATTTGAGCAAACAGGACCAAAGTTAACTTAAGTGAACCAGTAGCAGTTTCCTGGCTGTGTTGTTGGCCATTGTTTGGTCTCTTTCCGCTAGTCGATCAGATGACCAGGAGGAAAACTTAACTTACTCTCTTTAGTTGATCTCTTCTCCAGGGAGCCTGAACTCCACTCCAAGTTGTGAAGACACGGGTCACATAATTGTAAGCTATTAAATTATCAACAAAGCCTTCTTTCCACTTTTTGTTTAGTTCTTTATAGCGAAAAACGATAAAAAAAAGTGTTGAGTCTCTTCGTTTTTTAACAAACGGGTCTCGATTGCACTCGTCTGATTACGCCCTAAGATCACTTCGCGACCAGTTACTCAGTCTACTTAATCGAGTGTCGGTTTGTCGATCGTCAC